GGTTAATTATTCATATTTCCCCATGAGCTGATTCGCTACACTAAGATCAGAAATAGCTCATGTTTGATATTTTGAGAGTCTGCTGGAACAAGCAGGGCAGAGCTGGCTGGCTGATGAGTGGCTCTTATGCAGGCCGGTCTGGACTGGAGTGGTCTGAAGTGGAGGAGAGAATGAAAGAGTCTCGTACCTCCACCTCCAGCTCTTTGGCGGCGGACTGGAGCTCCATGGGTACGGTGCATTCGAGCGTGTTGCCCACCAAAGTGACGCTCTCACAGGTCCGGTTCGAAACTCTCAGCACCTCGCCGTTTTTCACCGCCTCCTGATTCACAGGGGGGACCTGCAGGGGGAAATGAAAGATAAAGAAAGGTTTAAATTGCTGTCTTTAAATTGCCCCATGACTGAGTGTGTATATGGGGCATATAGATTGCGCAGTGTCTACCCCTCTAAACCCAGCCAGCTCTGGTGTACGGAGCAGAGCAGAAGGCAATAAAGACAGCGATTGCATTCCTCACATGACAGCCTGAGCTTTACAGATTGGACACACTCCACTCCTGCACCTGTTACTATACAGCACCGGCCAGCCTGAGATCCAATGCGAACAGACGCACATACACTTACACTTAAGACCCAGCTCCCTGAGGAGATCACATCTATTCACAAAAAGCAAATGATCACTACTTAAAAATGTGGGAATTGTTTTAGATAATCAGCAACCGCCAGAATTGTGATATATATAAAGTAGGCATGACACATTCAGGCACGTTTAAAAAGCAATAATAATCTCCAGAAAAAAATGAATGTAATTAGTGGTCGATCTACATGGGATTGAGCGGGGTCAAAAAATCGGACCAAAAGTAAACCTGAAATGTGAAAGTCACATCAATTTTTCACTTTATTTATTTTGCTCCAAAAAAAAAAGTAAAGTAAAATAAAATTTTATATATATATATATATATATATATATAATATGATTTTATATAATTACAAATATAATAATAAAAGAAATTACTACATAAAGAGCAAACGTCCAGGCAAAGTATCCAATACAAGTTTTACACACATACACATACTAGCACACACACACACACACATATGTGACCATAGACCACAAAATCAGTCATAAGGGTCAAGTTTTTGAAATTGAGATTTATATACAATCGTCTGAAAGCTGAATAAATAAGCTTTCCATTGATGTATGGTTTGTTGGGATAGGACAATATTTGGCCGAGATACATTTAAAATACTATTTGAAAATCTGGAATCTGAGGGTGCCAAAAAATCGAAATATTGAGAAAATCACCTTTAAAGTTGTCCAAATGAAGTTCTTAGCAGTGCATATTAGGCTACTTATCAAAAATTACGTTTTTGATATATTTACGGTAGGAATTTAGGAAATTTACAAAATTTCTTCATGGAACATGATCTTTACCTAATACCCTAATGTTTTTTGGCATAAAAGAAAAATCGATAATTTCGACCCCTATTGTTTGGTATTGTTGGCTATATATATATATATTGCTGAATGTATTTGAATCATTTATTATTCCATGTATTCATTAAATATCTAGTTTTTGTTTTCCACTAATCATTATGTTAATTTTTTTCCTTTCTTACTTTATATACAAACACAGTTTTTGTAATTATACGTCAAAAGCTTGCAAAATTATGCATAAATTTTTTGCAAGTAGGAACATATTTACTGCAGAAAACTATTAACCTGCCACATATTTCACCACTCAACATGTCTGCTTTTGTATATTTGATGCAATATATATTTTGTATATTTGACACACTCACACACACACACACATATATATATATATATATATATGTGTGTGTGTGTGTGTGTGTGTAAAATATAATAAATAATACATTGATAAATAAATTATTTCATTTTCATTTTAAATAATATGATTTTGTATAATTAAAATAATAATAATAAAAAAACTAAACTTACAAAAAAGCTAACTTCCAGGCAAACTCTCCATTGGCACCAGTAACACTCACAATCTCTGACATTTTGATAAACCCCTTGAGCGTCAGCAGTGCTGCCAAGTGCAATTTTATTTCCCTAAAGAAGGCCTTAAGTATCAAGCAGCAAAATCTAAACAAACAGACTGCATGGGAATGAAAGTGCATGATCTGAGTGATAGGGCAGTTTAATGACAATTAAGCTAAACTGAGCCTGCTGTTGTGCCCATTATTGAATATATAGTGGCTTTAAATGAGACTGAGAGGTACACAAAGCTTAGTGTGTCTGTGTGTGCGTATCTTCCCGAGAGGGGTACAGAGGGATTTGATGCTGAGGTCTCGCATGGGAAGAAAAAGTGGAATCTCACGCGACCCCTCTCACCCCTCCTCTTCACAACAGCTGCGTTTGACTATTGAGTGGCAGTTTCAGGAAAAAAAAGTCTACTCTTATATTTCATTGTTAAAAATGCTGGGTTTTTTCACCAGCCTACCCTCACCAGGGCAAAGGATCTCACAGTCAATGTGTCAGAGGCTGTAACCTTCAGGGGACAAGAACAATGTGAAAGATGGAGGTGCACGATGGGAAACAAACGAAACTTCCTGTTTTGTTTCCTTCCAACTCAATGAGAAATGTGAATCACTCTGCGTATGCGTGTCTCACCTTAATCTCCAGAATGCTCTTGTTGCCTCTCGGTGTAACTGTGGGCTTCTGAAACTCCTCAAACTTGGGGTCTTCAACATACAGTAGGTCATACTGATCAGTGGAGAAACCATCTAACACGAAGGTCATTTTTGTGGCAACTGGAGGCTGAACACTGAGGCCTTTCAGGGAGGGTGTGATACAAAGGATATTTCGCTTATCCTCATCATGACTGCAGGTCTAGGCACAGAAAAAGACAAACACAAATATTAGCCATCTCTGTCATTACAATTGTGCCAAGTCAATGCTGAGGCATGTTAGATTCTTTTGTGTGGCCAAATCACTTTATCTTTTATTTGTTTAGGAGCACGGCATCTTCATATGTAAGATTTACATTTACATTTAGTAATTTAGCAGACGCTTTTATCCAAAGTGACTTACAAATGAGGACAATAGAAGCAATCAAAACTAACAAAAGAGCAACAATATGTAAGTGCAAATGACAAGTCTCGGTTAGCCTAACGCAGTACACATAGCAAGGTATTTAAAAAATCACATGGTCCTAAGTATTCAGACCCTACATGCACCATAAACACACACCATGTTCAGTTTGGTCTTAATTATTGCCACAAAGTTTGGTTTTACTTTTCTTAGTTTGGGCTTAAACTAACAGAAAACATTTGCTGTTATTTTGGTGTTGCTAATAATTTCCACTCTGTTCTTATCAAAATTTTTCTTATCAAAAAATAACAAACTTAAAAAATGTGTTTAAAATGAATTTCGTTTTGTGAGGAGAACTGTTAAGGAAAAATAATATAACCCAATTTTAAGTTCATCATGGTGAAGTTGGACATTCTGGCGGTGATTGTAAGAATGATAAATGCATGTTGATGTCATATAATATTGTCTTGAATAAAATATGCCTATTTTCCGATGTTTCTCTTTCTTTTTGGCATTATCGCCTGTGTAGACACATGATGGTAAGTTTAATTTCTTAATTATAACAATTGCAGCGTTGTTTTTAAACTTGTAGGCAAGCTATAACGTATTTGATATTTATCATGTATGACTAAAATCAAGCAGGGATTAAAAACGAATTCTGAGCAAAAACGTTAAGGTTTTTTTTCTTTCTTTCTGATAGCCTACTAGTTCGGAGGTCTCTTTTGGCCCGTTTTTAACTAAATAAAAATAACTGCTTTATTTATTTAGAAGCATGGTAATTTAGATTTAATTTTTGTATTGTAATTTTTATTTTATTAATCAAAATACAACGCCCACAAAATAATATTCAGTGTTGGGCTGCCGAATCTCCGAACGCGTGCATGTTGAGGGGCGAGCTGAGATATAGTACTATAATGTCTTAAGCCGTTTGCAACAAAACTTTAGTTTTGTTGCAAGTGAATTAAGAATTTATAGTGCTATATATCAGCTTAATTAAACATAATTATATTGTATACACGGTATAAAAAATCTGCAAAAATATTGCACTGAAATGTGCGCTGATAGTGCGTATTTTAATTATACTTGTCATGTTAGAGGTTTTTCATCATTATGCAGTCTGTTTAAACTGGCTCTCACTGTGGTTCGCTGGAGTCCCAAAGCTTAGAAATGGCTTTATAACCTTTTTCAGACTGATAGATCTCAATTACTTTTTCTCATTTGTTTCTGAATTTCTTTGGATCTCGGCATGATGTCTAGCTTTTGAGGATCTTTTGGTCTACTTCACTTTGTCAGGCAGGTCCTATTTAAGAGATTTCTTGATTGCGAACAGGTGTGGCAGTAATCAGGCCTGGGTGTGGCTAGAGAAATTGAACTCAGGTGTGATAAACCACAGTTTTAACAGGGGGGCAAACACTTCTTCACACAGGGCCATGTAGTTTTGGATTTTGTTTTCCCTTAATAATAAAAACCTTCATTTAAAAACTGCATGTTGTGTTTACTTGTGTTATCTTTGACTAATATTTAAATTAGTTTGATGATCTGAAACATTAAAGTGTGACAAACATGCAAAAAATAAGAAATCAGGAAGGGGGCCAACACTTTTTCACACCACTGTATATATATACACACATATGTACACACACAAGGCTTTAGTATTTAACCAGGGGCCAAGTTTTCTCAGCGGTCAGGAGTGATTACATGACTGAGAATATTTAAGTTCAGAGGCTTTCTGATATTTCCATAATTATTTTCATCATAATGAATTTATGAAAATGACAACTTTTGAATTCCTTAAAGCCTTCATTTGAAATGTGAAGCAATAAAAAAAAATCATGCACTACACATTCACTACTGTTCAACAGTTTGGGGTCAAACAGTATTTTGTAGGTTTTTGAAAGAAGTCTCTTTTGTTCACTGCATTTATTTGATCAGAAAAAATACAGTAAAAACAGTAATACTGTGAAATATTTTTATAATTTAAAATATTAAATTAAAAAAATAAAATATTTTCTATTTTAATATATTTTAAAATGTAATTTATTCTTGTATTGGCAATGCAAAATTTTCAGCATCATTAATCCAGTCTTCAGAGATCCTTCACATGATCCTTCAGAAATCATTCTAATATGCTGATTTGCATTTCTTATTATTATGGATGTTGAAATCATTTGTTTAGTTTACTATTTTTGTTGAAACAGTAGATTTTTGTTCAGGGATCTTCAGGAAAGTTCAAAGGAACAGCATTTATTTGAAATAGAAATGTTTTGTAACATCCTTACTGTCACTTTTGATCACTTTAATGTGCACTTGCTGAATAAAAGTATTAATTTCTGAAAAAAAATCAAATCATATAGACCCCAAACCTTTAAACGGTGTATATAACCTTTTCGAACCAGATGTGAGACCCATTATCTTGCATAGCATTCATCACAAACTTTAAGGCCAGTGGACAAGGAGCCTTTGTGAGATTGAAGACCTGACTAAGTGCAATTATGCATGAGTTACAACCCGAAGACTTTACATGCCAGCTGTGGCTCCAGCCCTGCCAGGTCTTGCCACACACCATTGTCATTCCACATTATAACACCACCACAACTGCCCATTTTACAGCACGCCTGTCATTTGCACGTCACCGCTGTTTAATTAGCTGTCCTCAAGTGAACGTTCCACTTCATAAAGCATAACCCTAGAGCAAGAGACACATTCAAATTGTTCGATGCCATTATTTATGAACATAAGGCATCTGAGTCGCTCTGCTCCAAGACTTCTATCCAGCAAACCTGGGTCTCCCTCTGCACACTTGGCAGGTTAACAATGCTCTAGAGTCTAAAAACAACTTAAAGTCATTCTGACTTCACATAAGTGAGTTAAATCCCGAGTACAGTTTAGGTCACAGTAAATATTTTCAATCTCATAAAAGCGTTTGATGTTTCATATTGCCAAAAAGGCAATAAAGGCCATGACCTGGGAGCTTGCATAAAGATCAGACTCTGAAACAAATTTAGAGAGAATGCATGAAGATAAATAACTTTTTAACCAAAAACTGATTGCTATTACTCACTGTTCACTGTAGGCAATATCTTCCCTGTCAACATCTTCCCTTCACTCATGTTCTGTGTTGCGCAATATTCCAGATGGGAAACAAAAATACAGCTCCTAAGCATCATCGCTGAGGACAGCGAACTATGAAAAAGTCCATGCAAATGAACACACATCTTGTATATTTGACTAGCAACTCTTTGCATATTTAGAGATCTGAGGACTCATCTGCTGAGACTATTCAAATAGTTGTAAAGCAGTTTGGCTTGGTGTGCTCCTCAACAAACACAACATTTAATTGTTTAGAATGGATCAAGTATCTCAAAGGGCTTAAAGGGGGGTTGGATAACAGCTGCTAAAGAAAGCAGCCAAAGGAGGATGGGAGACACCGAAAACACTTCAAATTGGTGTTTGGGGAATAGATATTCTCATTGGGAGTTAAAGTGATGTTGTATTGCAGGATTTGGATGGGAAATTCTCTTATAGGTGTTTCAGCTCTGATATAACCGTCGTTGATGGTTCCTTTCGATGTGAACTTTTAAAGGGGGTAAAGATAAGGAAGGAACGGGAACTTTCACGATATTATGAGGCAAAATGGAGTAAGGTGTCAGTAAGAACATACTAAGATGAGAAAACCAGACTTTGGTTTGCATTAAGAGGGATCTGGCATGAAAAGTACCCTCTTTGAATCCCCAAAACAGGTGTTGTTCTTGCTAGAAACCCCACTGTGGTGTCTGGAGCATATTAGAGTCCTGTTAACACCCCTCACTTCCCATAGGCAAGTCTTGGGCAAAGTAAAACTTGAACATGACCCTTGGTTAGAAACATCTAGAAAACTTGGCCAAGAAGATGCCATACCCCTAAACACATAAAACCCCTCTCAGGTTCGCTCCTGGACAGTGCCAATTGCCAGCGACAAGCTGCAGCCTGTAAAAATGCTTTTCATGTTGGTGGGAAAGGCGAGATCGGTTGATCCCCAGATTTAGCAGAGATCTCAGAACTAGATATTCAAGAATGCTCTTGAGATTTCATCCATTTTTCCTGAGCCACCACAATTTGCCTTGGTTCTTAACGCTCCTTCATTTGGCCCGCAGAGCTTGATTGCAAGAGGAACTGAAATGCAACTGATGGAAGGATTCACAGTGTTCTCGAGAAATTGAGATCAGTGTTCGCTTTTCTTTCATTTCAGGCCTGTCAGCAGCTAGACGGTGAATGCAGCCCGCAAGAAACCTGAGCTACTGACCGCGTTTCTGTTTCCGCCATCATTGATCGAACCTCAGCGTAACAGATGACAGCTCAACTTGGGTTACACAGCTGTAGTCTGTGTGATTGAGGAAAAAGCTGACAGAAGACAGGAAGTATTCCACCACAATGCTCCCCAATAAAAGTGAGAGGGGGAAAACAATAAACCTCTTGTGCTTCACAAATTAAGACAAGAATATTGTCCCGAACCCCACTGTTTATAAAGAAGAATTTACAGGCTGACAGCTGCGGGACCATCTTAAATCATTTGAAAGGATAGCCTGCGTTTCAAGCAGTCTCTGCTCAAAAGGTGGAAATAGTTTTCTTTCAAGTGAGCTCAAAATCATTGACAAACTCAAAGTGCATTATTTAAAGGGGTCATATGATGCGATTGAAATTTTTCCTTTCTCTTTGGAGTGTTACAAGTTCTTGGTGCATAAAGAAGATCTGTAAAGTTGCAAAGACTAAAGTCTCAAATCCAAAGAGATATTCTTTATAAAAGTTAAGAGTCAGCCACGCCTACCTAAAATGGCTCATTCTAACACGCCCCCACATATCTACGCCACCCAAATGTTCACACAAAGAAAGAAGGCGTAACTTTTATTCTCGCTGTAGTATTGTTGCCGCCGCCGCCATGTCGTGAAGACACTGTGTGCTTCGTTGTGAAAGCGAAACTACTTTGTTTGGCCTTCCAAAAGAGGACGATATCGCTTCGTCATGCCTGGAGCTGATCCGTGCTGGTCGCTGAGGAAATACTTCAACTTCGCGCTGTTGATCGCCGGATCGGCTTTCACCGTGGACGAAGAGGAGTCCAGCCCGGGGTCGTCACATGTGGTTGCCGCAGGTAAGGGACGTAACATTTCCATCACACGCTTGAGGAATTCGGCCAATCACAAAGCACTGGATAGCTGGCCAATCAGAGCACACCTCGCTTTTTCAGACCGATGAGCTTTGTAAAAATCGATGCGTTTCAGAAAGGCGGGGCATAGAGGAGAAACAATAATGTACAGTATGTGGAAAATAATGTGTTTTTTTAACCTTAAACCCCATAAACACATTTCATTACACCGAATACACAAAATAATGTTCTTTTTAGCAGCATCATATGACCCCTTTAAAATGGCCTACTTGGTATTAAGTACAAAATATTTGATCTTTGAGACAAATCAGTGAGATATTTATCTTCAGTACCCTGATGTTTGAGGAGGGAAACTGTAAGTTGAGTGGAAATGAAGACGTACAATCAAAATGATGATGTGAGTAAGTACGAGCCCCATTTTGGACTATGACGGGACTTGTATGCTTAAGATTAGATAGCATTGTTCGCATGCACTGTACCACTGCACGACCACACTCCACCCCCACAGAAATCAGATAAGGGGAAACTGTGTGTAAATGAGTATTTGTCTGGTCCCATTGAGAGAGGAGCAGATCAGGTCAACCACAGCTCTCAGGAGATGAGGTGTGGAAATGTTTCCAAATGGATGAAGAAACTTGGATAGACAAAAAATTAGATACATTACGATTTAAAAACTAGAAATGAAAGTGTTGCCAAATAGATGAAGAAACTTAGATGAAAAATGAGATGCATATATAAAACAAAAGAATAAAAATGGTAAATAATTTAGACTATAAAAAAATACTAGAAAAAAATGTGGAGTTTCAAATTAATGAAGAAACTCTGATAGATGAACAATAACACTCATTATATATCAAATAAACTAAATTTAAAATCTAAAAATGTTGATGTGTTTTCAAATGGATCAAGAAACTTGAGAAAAAACAAGACACTAGTAAATCCTAATTTAAAAGTTTTTTTTGTTAAAGTTATAATCATATCGAGAACATTGTGTGTGATTTTTCCATTTCCTCTTCACAACTGCAATTCTGAAACATTGCTTCCTTTATTTCTCATATCTGCTTTTGTGTTCAGTGGGGTTAATGATAATAGCATGCCTGTGACATGGTAGAGGAGGTATTTAATGTCTCGACACTCTGTGTTGGCCATCTAGACTCACCACTTGGAAGACTTTGCCCTCTGTGGCGGCAGTGAGAACCATCTGAGGTTGGAGGGCTGAGTGGAGGTAGAAACCATTGACTGTCACCGTGCTTCCTCCGCTATGGACACACATGCACAAAACAGAAGAACTTGCTGTTAAATGCACATTGATTTACTCTTCCAGTTTAACCCCAACTTCAACTACATTTAAAGTAGCTGTTTGCCTCTTTAAGAAAAATCGCTTTATGTATTCCCCAATTGTAAGTTGCTTTGGATAAAAGCATCTGCAAAATGACTAAATGTAAATGTAAATGTCGGCGGCAGGGCTGACCTGATGAAGGAATGCTTGGGCTGGACGCTGGAGATGTGTGGATTCTCGTTGTAGGTGTAGCTGACAGGAGCTTCACGAATCACTCCATCAATGTGCAGCTGAACCTTGTGTTGGGACGGTGATGGCTGAGGGGGTGTCCGACATGTCAACATTGTGGCTGAAATACTGCAGAAATGCACACAGAAAATCACACACATAGAAAATGGTTTGAATAGACACATACATGTATGCGTGACAGTGGTGATTGGCTCATGCACAAATCTCTCTTTTTCACTTCCATTTATTGGAAAAATGTCTAAGATGCTGAACATTTTCTGACTTTTAGTAGATTTGTAAAGAAAAATTAAACATATTTTATTTAAAACCAGAAATTAAATGTTGGTGTGTTTTAAATGGATGAATAAAAAATTTAATATATTACATATAATATATATATATATACAGTATATATATATAATATATATATATATATATATATATACAGTATATTTAAAATTAATTCAATGTAAAACTACAAATTGAAGAATAAAAAATATATATAAAATTTAAATTAATTTAAAAACTACAATTTAAAGAAAAAAAATGTGAAGTGTTTTCAAATTGACAGATGAAAACTGAGAAATACTGTATATTAGGGATGCGGTATCGGGCCTGATACTGAGCTCCTGTACTCGTACTCGTACTCGTTAAAACGCCCCGATACCAAACGCCGATACCACACAGCATGTGATAAGTGCCATATTCAGACAATGAAACAGGACAACAGAACAACAGACAGCAGAATGGAGTTATTAGAGATTAAGGATGTCTACGAAGTATATGTATGCAATGAATATAATGTTAAACATTCAGTATTAACGCCTGTATAGCTGATGTGCGCGAGTTGATAAGCAAAGCGCGCTGAGTGGATTGAGCGTGCGGCAGAGCAGATGCGCGAGCTTGTCGAATGAATATACCTTTCTCACAGACATCACTGGAAAGTTCGTAGTTCGGTCGGATACGTCAAAGAAACACCGACAACAGAACAACAGGCAGCAGAAAGGAGTTAAGGATGTCTACTACAAAGTATATGTATGCAATGAATATAATGTTAAACATTCAGTATTAACGCCTGTATAGCTGATGTGCGCGAGTTGATAAGCAAAGCGCGCTGAGTGGATTGAGCGTGCGGCAGAGCAGATGCGCGAGCTTGTCGAATGAATATACCTTTCTCACAGACATCACTGGAAAGTTCGTAGTTCGGTCGGATACGTCAAAAACAGGTAAGTAAAACAATGCACAAGTTACTTAACGGTAGGGAGAGAGAGAGAATGCACGCGCAATTCTGTTGTGTGATCTTTGATTTTCACTCACTTAGCACACGCATCATTTGGATTAAAACTAAATCGTAAAAATAAGACCATTTATAGGGGCATTCACTATAAACGTCATTTATTTTTAACCTTAGGCATACACGACTTTCTGGCGAAAGTGAATCTAGCAGCTTGTGTGAAATGCGCTAGTCTGTACTATTCTGCATCAGTACAAATACGTGCACGCGTTGCGCGTTTTGCTTGCTTGAGTGTTTCTGCATTATATGAGTGGCTTTGGAATATAAACCGCAGCACGTTTCAGATGAAAAAACGCGACTTCTATTTCTGAAAATATCACAGTTAGGAGATTTATAACGAGTGGTTCCCTGCATTATTATAGCAAAGTGCGTGATTACAGTACTAAGCCGCTGCAATGGAGCAGCTCTAATACTATTAAATTAAAGATGATGTACCATAGAGCAAAAAATTAACAGTGAAAGTAACAAAAACTTTTAAGTGTGAAAATAACAGAAGGAAATACAGTGAAACCAAAAATGATTCAGAGAACAGATATAATTGATATTTTTTAACTAGTGGGTGCAGGACACTATAGTTCATTTATGTAAGTGAGGATAGCAAAATAAAGTAAACTGTGACCAATTATACCCAAAATTTCTTCATACAGTGGACTACCAGTAAAACTGATACAAATTTGGGACCAAAAATTATTCAGACCGAGCCTGGGGGAAAAAAAACTAAAGTTCAGGTTTGCATGAAGCTGGGTGACAGAATGCCCAGGAGACTACAGGCTGTGCTGAGTTAAACTTCACTAGCCACACGCAGGCCTGATTACTGCCAGACCTGTTGAATCAAGAAATCACTTAAATAGAACCTGTCTGACAAAGTAAAGCATGCTTAAAGAGCAACACATCATGCCGTGATCTAAAGAAATTCAAGAACAGATGAGAAACAAAACAGTTGACATGTATCAGTCTGGAAAGGGTTATAAAGCCATTTCTAAGGCTTTGGGACTCCAGCGAACCATGGTCAGAGCCATTATCCACAAATGGAGAAAACTTGGAACAGTGGTGAACCTTCCCAGGAGTGGGAATAGCCCGCTAGCATCGCCAGCGTGGTTGCCGCTAATCTCGCTTACATTACTAATACTCTATTCACACACATTACCATTGTTTTACTCACTGTTACTTGCTTTAATGGCGGATGTGTGTCTACCTTTGAGTGCAGGTGAGGACACGTTCAAGCTGCATTTGGTGCAGCTCGAGCTGGAGGCCGTGGAGAAGCAGATCCGTGACCTGTTGGAGAGGCAGACCCAGTTGAGAGATTGGAGAGCCGCGCTGGAATCATCTCAGGCTGACGCTCACAAGTCAGAGGTAAGTATACAGCGCGCTGCTAACTCTCCCACCACCTCTACTCTGTGTGTTTCTCTGCACAGGCCCGGTACACCCAGGATGCGATCTTCCCAGATGTCCTTCACACCGGCGCCAGGACACCACGGACCCTGGGTGCAGCCGCAGCGGAAGACGCGAGCCAGGTCCCGGGCGACAACCTCCCCCTCCACCGCCTCCGGTCTTCGAGATCTCCCCCC